TTATTGATAGTTGCTTATTAAAAATTTTTAGTTTTTAAAAAAATTATCACCGCCATTACTTTCGCCGGAGACTGTATTTGTGGGAGAAAAGAAATGATATCATTAGAAAAGTAAGGATCATACTTTTTATTTGTATAATAAATATTACAACACTACGGTTAGTTACAACACCAACACTCCAATGTTGTATCATTGCAACACGAGTTGCAACACCGTAATACCGTAATTTTACATTATGGGTGCCAACTCTAAGTTTCAACAGGATTTTTGATAAGATTTAATATAGTTTTGCCATGGTTTCAGCAATTACTAAGGAGGTTTCATCCACAACCTTAGTTGAGACCACACATTATAATATGGTTGTTAACATTGAACAAGTTTATCATTTTGAGAAATTTACTCCTGATCTTTCATTCTTGCGAATATTGGTAATACTAATACTAATATTAGATAATAATTATGATTGATGATTCGAATTTGATTATGATATTTTATTTTATTTTTTGTAGCCATTTTATCACATATTTGCATTGCATTTTATTATTAATCGAGCACTTTATAGTGTAAGTTTGTAATAAAAATTTTCCAAAAAATATATATATACATATATAGGGAGCATCAGCGATAATTTTATCAAAATTTGATATAAATTCATTTTGTCATGCAATACAAGATCATAAAATAAATATTATATATCTAGTTTCACCAATTGTGCTTCAACTGGTTAAAGATCCGGTTGTTGACAATTATGATTTAACAAGTTTTGAAATTTTTATTCTGTGGTGCTGCTCCGTTAAATGAAGAGTTAAGTAATATATTCGGCAACAAATTTGGTACACCTCTTAAGCAAGGTAATGGACTTACTGAAACTACACCAATCATTACAATGGATAGGACCGATGATATCACAATTGGTAATTAAAAAGATTTTTTTTTTTATTGTTAAAGGAATGACAAAAGGAAATAAGTGAATAAATAATATATTTTTTTTTAAAAAAAAAAAATTAGGATCCTTGTAGCAAATGCGGAAGCAAAAATTATTGATGAAAGTGGAAAAGGTAATTAACAATGAATCATTATTTATCACTAAACAATTAATTGATTATTATATGTTTATATTTGATAGAACTTGGGATTAACGAATAAGTTGAACTATGTGTTCGTGGTCCAAACATTATGAAGGTACCAATCATATTTATATGAATATTGTTAGTCGGAGACAATGAAATTGAGCAATACACTACTATCCAAGATGAATGGTCTATCATTGCTGCAACTTCTACATCAGGAAATTCTTCCTACCATAACATTGTGTTCATAAGTTTTAATATGCAATCGATTTACTTTAATTGATTCTTCACATGTCTGAAAAAAATAAAAATATGATTATCTTAATAATAAACAGGCCACTAAAGAATGTATTGGTAAAGATGGATTTTTCCATACCGGAGACGTTGCTTTTATTAATGAAAATGGTAGATTATTGTAATATCATAAAATAAAATATTCTCTTTTATTTTTGGTTGATCGTGTAAAAGAACTTATCAAATATAAGATTTGCCATTTTTCTTTTTTTCTAATCAATTTTTCCCATCACCATCACCTCAAAAAAATTTTTTAGGTCTATCAAGTTGCACCTGCAGAAATTGAATCAGTCCTACTTACTAATCCCATCATTTTCGATGCAGCTGTAGTTGGTATATATTCAGAACAAGACGCGATAGAATTACCAGTCGTCTATGTTGTACTACCAATGATCACCAACAAACCCAAAAACTAATTCAAGATCATGTAGCTGGAAAGGTTGCTCATCATAAAAAATTACGTGGCGGTGTCTACATTATTGATAAGATACCTAAAAGTCCTTCTGGGAAAATTTTGAGAAAAATTTTGAGAAAACGAATTAAGAGTGAATGGGTTCGTCCTGATGATCTTTTTAAGTATAAATAATTTATTTATACCGTGACTTTGTCATTATAAATAGCCTGTTATCAATCTCTCTATATATAGAAGTTAGATACTTGAAACATTTTCAATTTCAATATTTATATTTTGTATTTCAAAAATAATAAATTTGTCACGGGAATTTTATCCTTGCATTCTTCTCAAAGTTGCACACAGGGTGAGAAATCCTATTACAAGATTTTAGTATTAGGCAACATACTAAAATTTTTAGGTTCTCATCACTAAAAATTTTCAAATTGACCTGGTGTCCTGGGCTTTATAGGCCATCACTAAACTTTCGGGCAGTCCAGCAACTGTCCCTGGTCAAAAATGTAAATTTACATTTAAGATTACTTTAAAATTGATGTAAGTGGCTAATCTAAGATTACTTGCTGAATCCTCTTAATGACTGCTGAAACTCCAATAAACAATTATTATGTAACTCCGCCAATTGTCAAAACCCCCAATGTGAAACTCTGCCGAAACTCTAATAAACAATTAGTGTGTAACATGTCAAAACTGCCGATGGAGTTTTGGAAAGCAACCATAGTCCAATCAATGTCGTATTCATTGATTTGTTAGGTGTCATCTTTCTAAAAACCATTTGAACATTGATGTCAATTTAGATATTGATTTTTTTTTCATATTTATTTATTATATATATTTTTAAAAAGTATTAATTCGGATCATTACTATATTTTCGCGTGAAAAAATCCATTTTTCCAATCCCTTTAAAAAAAAATAGAACTTTATATATACCTGTTTGTGAGAACTTTTACTCTTTGTATAAACTTACAAAATGGCTTGTAGTCAAGGTGCTCCTATGACTTGTACTATATCAAAAAAAAAAAAAGAATTAAAGCAAAGGAAGAAACCAAATGTTCAATACCAAAATTGTCACGTGTTGATTCTGGTAGAAGTAAGTAAACAGAGTTGTTCATATAAACAATAATGCTATTTTTAATACTTTAGTAATATTGCATTTCTTTAGCAGAAAAAGAATTAACCAAAACCAAAAAGTCACCGAGAATCCTGAATCAGAAGACATAGTTAATTCTAATAGTAAATTTATACCTGTGGGACTTCAGAACTTGATAATAACTGTGATTGAAATATAAAAAATATACACACTACAGCACCGAGTTCCCAGTTTCTAATATATTAAAAAAAATTTTTTTTTCTCTTTTGTAAGTATTTACATACCTCTCATATCTCAGACCTTTTGATATTCATCATAAGCAAATTTTTTATCCTCTTTAAAGGCTTCGATCTCTTTGTTAACAAAACTCTGCTGTTATTTCACCTATAAAATTATGAGATCTCGAGAATCTTACATTGGGTGTATATAGATGATCCGTAATTTAGAGTCACGAAGAGGCTTATTTTATTTTATGGAGAAAACCTTTAATAACATTAAAAAAAAATGGTTGATTTTTAAATGTATAGATTCAAGAACCAAATATGGTGAAGAAAATAACTTTATTTTCCAAGACTTGGCAAATAATTTAGCAGTAAAAAATAAAGTTTCTTAATCAGTCAATACGCTGTCAAAAAATTAGTAGATGAGGTGACAAATGAAAGGATTCAGGAAGGTTTATGAAATTTGTCTGTATAAATGATATGATGGCTTGTTTTAAAATAAAATATAAAAAAAAAGAAGAAAATGCACAATATATTTTGTGCGACCATAATAATTTTGTTTTAGAACAAACTATCAAAAAAAACACAATGAATTAATTCTTGGTATTTAGTTTCACAATGATTATATTTAAAGAAATTATTATAAGCCGAATATTTTTGACAATTTTTGAATTTCCCAATATTCTTTGAAAAATCAAATATGGATATAATCTAATTTTGTATAAAAAACTATTTTTGTATAAAAAAACTGTTTTTGCATTCGGCTAATTAATTTAATATAATTATAATTATAGCTTTAAAAGAATAATTTTTTTCCATCATTTCAATATATTATA